TGTACGCGCCGCCGTCTTCGGGTGGCTAACTCCTTAGGAGACTCAGTTCACGTTACGTTTTCTCGGACACCTTCTTTACATCCTCTGCTGTGGTAGGTGCCACTCTGTTATTCTGTTTAGGTACTCACTGCGTACTTAATGTTATTTACTGCTTCAACACTCCAGCCTCTTCCGCCCAGTCTTCCTAGATTTTTGAGAGCAAAGGAGAGCCCCCCTACCCCACGTACTCACCCTACAATCTAGAGAAGTGACCTCCTTTTCTTTGAGAGAGATTTTTGCTGTAGGGCATCTCCCCTCGCCATACAGAGAAAGAAAGCGTGAATTCACCTTCCCTCCGTCCTCCCCTACTTCCCCCCACCTCCTCTCCATGGCCATACCGCAATACCTTCTCCTGGGATTATGGGGCACACACACACACACGCGCCGCCGTAGTGAGTTTTAAGCAGCCTGTCTGGGACTCGAACTCCTGTAGATTATGTGTGAGTTCCTCGAAGTAACCACTCCGCTATCAGCTGGTTTGGAGAAGTGATTTCTAAAACTGAGAATGTGTCATTATCTTGTGGAGATCTGGTTGCAAGATTCCTGAGTGCCTTAGTAAATTTGGGGTGAAACCAAGGATTACATCAGTAACAATTTCCCAAGTGAGGTTGATGTTGCTGGTCTGGAGATGAAATGGTGAGATTTTCTGGTCTAGATGATACTTGGTATCCAATAAATGTTCCTTAAAAATGTCAAGGATGGAGGATTTCAACCACCGGAGACCCTCTGGCGTGACTTCACCCAGTGTAGCCAGTAGCCAGGTTAGAACACCTTCTACTCATTCTCGTTCTCTTTCCATTTCTCTCTCTATTTTAACTATTTAAAAAAAATTTTAAACTTAGCTCTCTGCTGCTCTTTTGTCTAATTCTTACTCCCTCACCCCCACCCGCGTTGGATATCAGCCACCACTATATTTGAGCTACAAGTGGCCCCATTCGAGGAGCATGCTAACACTCCTCAAGTTTTCATTTTTTGACAAAAAACTTTTGTTCTCCTTATAGTTCTTGACTTTTCCTCTCCTTTTTTTCTATTCCTTTCCCTTTTCTTTTTATATTTCTCACTTTTCTGCTCAGCCTCCATACACTGATATTCTAGATAGGTCTAGGTGCTCAGTAACCAATTATCTGAATACTTTTAGAGTATTTTCATTGAATCTGTTGTGCAAAGGGAGAAAAACAATACTATTTACGGACTGCAGGTTACCTCCTTCTGTATTCCTCTGATTGTTCAGATTTAACTCCAAAAAATAGGAAAGAGCATATAATCCATCAGATGACCAGAAACCACCACAGAGGCACAAGAAATATGAGAAATGAAGGAAACATCTCTCCTCTAATGGAAAAGAATAACTTCTCTTCCTCCATAAAAAATACAAGAGAACTCATGAAAATGGCAGATAAAAAATTTAAAATATTCATTGTAGCAAAGGTAACAGAGATGCAAGAGATCAGAGACAAGGAACTCCAGAAGAGACAGGAGAAAAGAGATAATGGGTTCCAGGAGGTGAGGAAGTTCTTGCACAATCTGAAAGAGGAGATACACATCATAAAAGAGTCAAGCGGAATTGTTAGAGACGAAGGCTGTAATATAGGAAATCAAAACTTCCTTTGAAAATATCAAAAGCAGATTAGGTCATGGAGAAGATTGAATCTCAGAGGTAGAAGATAGAACCTCTGACCTAGAAAAATTCACCAAAAAGACTGAGAAAATACCCCCCCCAAATAACATACAAATAATACTGACATTGTTAAACCCCCAAACATCCTAATCATCGGTATCCCAGAGGTAGAGAAAGGGCATTGATCATCTATTCCATGAAATCCTGGAAGAAAGCTTTCCAACTATAGAGAGGCACTCAAATATCCCGATCCAAGAAATACATAGGACTCCACATAGAATCGATCTAAGCAGATCTTCCCCATCAAAGCCAGATTGACCAAAACCACATAGACAAGATACTAAAATTGACAAGAGGGAAACATCAAATTACTTTAAAAGGATATCTCATAAGGCTAACATTGGATCTCTCATCAGAAATAATGCAAGCAAGGAAAGAATGGGAAAATACAGTCAGAGTGTTAAGTGAAAGACAATTTCAACCAAGGATACTAGACCTGGCAAGATTATCTTTTATATAGGAAAAAAAGACAAGAACATTCTCAGATAAACAAAACCTGAAGTAATTTACCAGCAGCATACAGCTCTCCAAAAAGTGCTGAAAGGAGTCCTATACCAGGAACACTAAAGTCAGACACACAGAAATAAGAGTACAAGAAACAACCAAGAGAATGGCCAGCCTAATGGGAGGGATAAGTCTGGAGTTGAATGGAGTTTTTCAGAGTTTAAATGGAAAGATCAGATCACAGTAACACTGCAAATTCAATATAAATTAATTACATGACTCTGAACTAGTGAAATACAATTTTTTTTTGCTTCAGACTAAAACATTACTGATTTTCTTTAATGCTTTAATTTCCATTTTTAAGGATTTTTATCTTCTCTTGAACTGTTGATAGGTTCATCTACCTACTATTTGAACTGAATCCTAACCATTTTCCTGGCTTTAAGTTTTAAGTAAATTTCTCTTAATATTTTTATTTTGATCTATTAAAACAAACTTTTTTTTGAAATTAAAAAATGCATTAAAAAGGACCAGCAGTTGGTATAATGGCTATGTCACTGGACTCCTATGTGATTGACTGTGGTTTAAGTCCCAGACCCAGTGGCTTAACCTCATACCAGGCACATGTGCGTGTGTGCCCAAGATACCAAGGGGAATGGAGAAGGGATTGTGGCGTGACCATCCCCCTTGGAGGGTGATTTCTTGCTTTCTGTCTCTCTGTCTCTGTTTTTCTGGAGAGCACACGTGCCCTATAATAAAAACTTCTCTGAAAAAAAAAAGCATTAAAAATTATCTATTAATACCTATTTAATGACTGCGGTAAGCTATATAGCCCCGGCATGGTGCTACTTTATAGTATGTTCACTCTACTCACTGGGGTTTACACCTAAAGTCAGATATTTGTTCTTAAATATGTATATATCAGCTGTGCTTAATATTTAAAGTCTTTAAAGTAATTAAGATTCTCTGAAAAAAAAAAGCATTAAAAATTATCTATTAATACCTATTTAATGACTGCGGTAAGCTATATAGCCCCGGCATGGTGCTACTTTATAGTATGTTCACTCTACTCACTGGGGTTTACACCTAAAGTCAGATATTTGTTCTTAAATATGTATATATCAGCTGTGCTTAATATTTAAAGTCTTTAAAGTAATTAAGATTTTTAGTGAATCAATAAAATGTGGGAAAAAAAAAACGCATGGAAAACAACTGTATATACCAGAGACTATGGGAGGAGATGGGGATTTGGCAGAGGGTAATCAGGGAATCAAGAGGGGAAAGCAAATATATAAGAAGCAAGAAATAAAAAATGATTTGTTGATGATAACATGTATGGTAATATCCTTGATTGAGCTAATATACAATGTATACTGGATGGAAAATCTCATTTTGTATATGGTATTGATCTATAGTGAATTACTGTAAATAAATAAATTAATTAATTTAAAAAAATTCAGGGATCAAGCTGGCTGGGTACCTAGGTTAAGGGAGCTGGATTCTACATGGCTGATCGTTTGGTTCAAATCCAGGCACCAGAGGTTTGAAATACTCCTTTAGTATGTATGCCCAAGTCCTAATAGGATAGAGAAGTTGAGAAGGCTTAGAGAGCACTCTCCCCATTGAAGAGTGCTTCTCTTTCTCTGGGATGTACATGTGTCCCCTGGCAATTAAAAAAAAAAAAAAAAAAAGAAAGATAGAAAGAAAGAAAGAAAAAAGGATTTTTTGGGGACTATATTTTCTATATTTGATTTGATTTGAAACCAAATTACATTTCATAAATTACTCAGACTGAGGTAAACGGTTCAGGTTCTTGCTACTAAAAATCTGGTCCTTGGACTACCTGCACATTACCTAAGAGCTTACTTGGCATTAGTTAGGGACTTTTTAAGGTTGCAGACCAGCAGATAGCGTGGTGGTCCAAGCGCTGGACTTCCACATGGCCGATTGTGGTTTGGGTCCAGACCTGGTGGCTTGCTTTCTCACTTTCCCTCGTTATTTCTTTCTGGTGAGCACATGTGCCCTATACCAAATTAAAATAGTAATAATAAATAAAGTTAAATAATTAAAAAAAAAAAAATCAGTGCAGAATCTCTGGTGCCATGGTGGACCTACTGAATCAGAATCCATTTTAACAAGATCTCCAGGTGATTAGCATGCACATTAAAATTTGAAAAGCATTAATGTGTTTTTATTATTATTGTTGTGGATTTTTAAAATAATTATTTAATTGTATTTATTATTTTAATTCACCATATATAGAGAGAGAAAATGAGAAAGCAAGTTACCAGGTCTGGAACTTGAACCACAGTCAGCGAGGTGGTAGCGCACTACCTTAGCCACCACACTGCCTACTGGCCCAATGTGGTGGAATAGTTTTGTTTTGTTTTGTTGTTTTGTTTTGTTTTGTTTTTTGAGAGATTTTTGCTATAGGGCATGTGCGCTTGCCAGAAAGACAGAGAGAGACAGAGAGATAGAAAGCGAGAAATCACCCCCCCAAACGTATGGTCATGCTGCAACCCCTTATCCTCCATTGTCCTTCGGAATCTTGGGCACGCGCGCACGCACACACACACCAGGCGTTAGTTTAAGCCACCGGATCTGGGACTCAAACCACGGTCGACTACATGGGAGTCCAGTGACATAGCCATTATGTCATCTGCTGGTCCTTCTTCTTCTTCTTCTTCTTTTTTTTTTTTTTAAATTTGTGCTGGTCCTTCTAATTGATAAGTTTTTGAAAAGCTTTCACTGTTTAAATGAGGTATGTAGATTTAATTTTAATAATTAAGGATATTTCTTTTTAACATCAAAATACAAAATGATGAAAAGATGAAGTGACTACTGAGATGGTAAATTATTTCATCGAAAAGATAAATTAATAGTAGAGAAATGAATGATTGGGTGGTCAGAAAAGTCATGATGCCTTTTTGC